AGCAAACCTGGAGCTTTTTTAAATGGCATTTTAAATAGCAATTTTTAACAGAAAAAAGTAGATTTATCTCCTCAAATGGTGCAGCCCTAATGTCGTGTGTGTCTGTGGCAGAAAACATGTTCTCCGTGTCATATTGTAACATATACAGAGCTCCTCTGAAGCCACAGACGGTCAGTCAGCTTCTCTGTGTGTGTGTGTGTGTGTGTGTGTGTGTGTGTGTGTGTGTGTGCTCTGAATACGATCGGTGGACAGAGCCTGATTAAAAATCAACACACACTTGCGAGGTCAGCGTGTGTGTGTGGTTTGTAGGTGCGCCGTCACAGTCGATGGAACAGCTTCATTGGGATGCGCACCTGAAACATGGGCAGGTCGGTGTGTTTTTCATTCAGGAGGAGAGCGAGACCTCTTCAGTGAGTATGAATGAGTGATCTTCTACTGCAGCATGGAAGCAGTGAGAGTTTATTCATCCTCATGTTGTTCCAAACCATAAAAATTGCACATTAATGCATTTCACAAATAACGAACATTAGGATTTACAAGTTCTACCTGATAAAATATTTTAGAGCTGGCATAACTCAAAAAATGTAGAAACATTTAAAAAATGTCCATAGCATTTTAAGATCTTATTAAGTCACATGCCTTTTCCAGATCTAGAAATCATACTTCCTCATACCAGAGTTATTTTAGTATCAATTAGATATTCGTTTTTATTTATTATTTTATTTATTATAGTTTTATTTTTATGCTTTCTGTTTTAATTTTACATTTTGTTAGTTTTAGCCATTTTTAGTATTTTTTTGGTAAAGTTTTGTGTGTTTTTGTCTTTGGCAATATTATTATGTTTTAATATGTCAATATAGTTTTTGTTGTTTTTTTTCTGTTTTATTTTCAGTTATTTCAGTACATCAAGTTAAATGTTTCCTTGGAAGCTAGCTGAATTAAAACAAACGTTTTTATATTTTATTTTATTTCAGTTAACATTTATTTTGTTTCAAGTAACAAAAGATATATTTTATGGTTGTAGTTTTAGTTAATAACCCTGCCTCATACTGCATATCCAGGTTTTCTAAGACCTTATGAATCCTGGTTCTTCAAAAACAAAAACAGTGGTTGAGGAGGTCAAGTACAATAAGAAATATCTTGGATTGTGATCTAATTTTAATACTTGTTTTGTCTTGTTTTAAACTGTTTCAAGTTTAAATTATGTTAATTAATTTTTATATGTTTTTAGTGACACAGTCAGCCAATCAGAAAAGATTACGTGTCATATACAGTTATGAGGAGCAGCATTTTGAGCCAATGAAATTTAACCATGGGCGGAGCTACTCAGCATGATGCTGCAGAAATAGAGACCACTTGATTGTTTGTTGAGAGAGAAACTCAGATTTGTATGGCAGAGGAGCTTGTATCACTTGTTGCTATATCACTTTAAGTCTGTAGTCATAATCAGCTTTATATAAACACAACAGACGCCTGTTCTGCCCTACGACAGCAAAACACAATAGCTATGCTGGCTGTGTGTGTGTGTGTGTGTGTGTGTGTGTGTGTGTGTTCTCTCAGGCAGCACCACAGGCAGTTCATCATGGAGCTGATGTTCACAGTCTCATTAGACTCATCTCTCTATGGATGGAAACAGCCCTCTGTCTCTGTCTCTGTGTCTTTATAGTGTTGTTCAGAGGATATTAGCATCTGCTGCTTTTTACGGCAACAGCTGACAGTGTAAAAACTGACAAAGTTTGAAAACTCACCTTCATACAGTATCAGCACAGTCACAATGTATTCATTACATCACAAATAAAACACAACAAATGAGAACCGAATCAAAATGTGACGTATCTGTCTGTCCATGTGCATAAACTCACAGGTCCTCATATGGTTTCTGTGTTGGATTTTAGCTGTGCATATTCATCTGATGCATAATAATATTAATGTATTATAATAGTAATGTTAACACAAGAGAAATCATACAAATTGAATGTTATCTTTTAGCCCTGAATAAGCTATTTCACATAACATGTGTTTACATATAGTTCACAAGTCAAAATATTATCTGGATTTTTAGATATACTCCCACAAACACATTTCAAAGACAATTACCAATATGACATGAACATCTAAACTCCTATGTACCTTAATGTACTGTTGTCTAGACAAAACACCTGTATTGACCTTGGACTTGAGTTTCTATTTATGCCTTGGCTATTAACACTAAGCACCACTGTCTGGTTGGGCCAGACACAATTATAAGAGACACAAGGTTGACAGTAGGTAATGGGTTCTGAAAGTAAAGACAGTGGATAAAGCTTTTGACGAGACCGACCCAAGTTCAAATCCACCTTTCAGCTCAGCGAAGTGTTTACTTTATATAAAAATGAAAAGTGAATATCTTTACTACAGGCTGATATGGTTTGGGGTAGATGATATGATATGATATGATATGATATGATATGATATGTGATATGATATGATATAATAATGTAATATAATTTTAAAACTGACAAATAAAGTCATATTTAGTATTTTTTAAATATTTTAATGCATGTACTTGTTCAGCTGTTTGATTACGCAGTTATATATATATATATATACTATAGCGAATAGTATATATGTAGTGAATAGTACTATAGCTAGTATGTATATATATATATATATATATATATATATATATATAAAGCTTATTTATTTTTTTAGGATAAAAATCATATTTAGTAGGTTTTAAATGTTTTTATGCTTTAAAGCATGTTTTTACAAGTAGTTAAATCAAATGTAATAAAATAATACATTTAAGAAATAAATTAATGAATCATAGTAAATCATTCAAAATTCAATGAAAGAAGATATATAAAATATATAATATAAAAAGCATTCTTAAATTATTTTTAAATTTAAATGTTAAATAATATCATATATTATAATATCATATCATATATCATATCATATGATATTATAATATATGATATGAGTCTAGCAGAATTCTACGAGCAACAAATGTTACGGAAAACTCTTAGTATTACGGGAGATGACTCTCACCCCTTGAAGCTTTACTTTGAGGTATTGCCCTCTGGAAGAAGATTCAGAAGCATTAAATGTTCATCTAATAGATATAAATTCACTTTTGTTCCAGAGGCTATACGTTTTTACAATTCAAAGTCTTAGTTTTGTTTTGTTTTTTTTTTTTTTTTTTTGTTGTATGGAATTTATTATGAAGCATGTTGGGTTGTGTTTTTTATTTATTTATTTATTTATTTATTTGTATTGTCTAGGTAATATCTTATGTTTGTATTAAGTTGTTGTGTGATGCTACTACCCTACTTTAATTGCCCCTTGTGGGATTAATAAAGTTGTTAACTTAACTTAAACTTATATCATCTTGTTTTACATGTTTCTGTTTAACATGTTAAAAACGGACTTCCCCCTCTAAAATTTACAATAATAACTGTCTGTCTGTGTGTCTGCAGTACAAGCAGGTGGAGCAGTACATGTCCTTCCATAAGCTGCCAGCAGACATGAGACAGCGGATCCATGATTACTATGAACACAGATACCAGGGGAAGATGTTTGATGAAGAGAGCATTCTGGGAGAACTGAATGAGCCACTAAGAGAGGTGAGGACGCACAGATGCATGCTGGGGAATGCATGTTATTTGTGCAGTATGTGCATTTTCTGTATGCACTGAATACCCGAATGCATGAATGCTGCATCCCACAATGCAATGAACTCACGTTGACCTTTCTTTTCCAATGTGGCGAATGAACAGTAAGTCATTTTTAATTGATCAGTCTGTCTAAAATGTTTTGCTTTTCACTTCACAGGAGATCATAAACTTCAACTGTCGGAAGCTGGTGGCGTCTATGCCGCTGTTCGCCAACGCAGATCCGAATTTTGTGACATCAATGCTCACCAAACTTCGCTTCGAGGTCTTCCAACCTGGAGACTACATCATACGAGAAGGAACCATCGGAAAGAAGATGTACTTCATCCAGCACGGCGTGGTGAGCGTCCTCACCAAAGGAAACAAGGAGACCAAGCTGTCGGACGGGTCCTACTTTGGAGGTACAAATGAATCGCAAACATGGAATACAAAAGTGGATCATGCGCTCACACACACACACACACACACACACACACACAGAGTCGAGCTCAGCCATTTCTCCAGCTTTAATATTCATAATGATGGATTAGCCAAAACAAAAGCTTTTTGCCTCTAAGCTTTTGGGACAGTCACAGAATCGTGGGATCACAGCCGATAAGTGCCCTATTTCTGGGACATTAACACAGATGCATAGCAGGTAATGTTTGTGTCATTTCCAGGGTTTTTTTTGGGGGGGGCTCCTCCTGATGAAGCTGTTCAAGTTTCTATTCTTCAGTTTTCATAATTCAGAACAGAGCTATGAAGATACATAAAATAACAGCTTATTTCATGTGCAGCTTATAAACACTACCATTCAAGATTACCTTTCAAGATCAAGTCATTAAAGATTTTTTTTTTTCAAGAAATTAATTATTTTATTCATCAAGGATGCATTTAACTGATCAAAAGTGACAGTGGAGATTTCTGTTTCAAATAAATGCTGTTCTTTTGAACTTTCTATTCATTAAATAATCCTGAAAAATAAGATGTATCACGGTTTCCACAGAAATATGAAGCTGCATGACTGTTTTTAACATTGATCATAATCAGAAATTGTTTCTTGAGCAGCAAATCAGTATATTAGAATGATTTCTGAAGGATCATGTGACACTGAAGACTAGAGTAATGATGCTGAAAATACAGCTTTGATCACAGGAATAAATTATATTTTAACATATATTCAAAAGAAAACAGTTACTTGAAATTGTAATAATATTTCACAATATTACTGTATTTTTGATCAAATAAATGCAGCCTTGGTGAACAGAAGAGACTTCTTTTTAAAAAACATAAAAAAGTGGTGCATATTTTTCATATATTTATAATCTATAATTTATAGGTGACATTTTACAATAAGGTGTCATTTATTAACATTAGTTAATGCATTAGCTAACATGAACCAACAATGAGCAATATATTTTTTAATTGTTATTCATTGTTTTAGTTCACAACGCATTAACTGATGTTAACAGATATAACTTTAAAAAAGTGTATTACTAAAAGGTAAAATTAAGATTTTAATTCAAATTAATTTTAATTAAGATCAAAATTTGAGATAAGATAATAATGTCTGCTGTCTGTGATGTCACTAGTGAAGCTTTGAGACTGTAGGTGCGTCCCAAAATGCGTACTAATGCACTTTTCTATGTTTTGTAGTATAAATAGTGTGAGTAAGGTGTTCACACTGAAAATTCCAAAAAGAAAAGTGCACTTTAAATACCTGGATGATGCAATTAAATAACCAGAAAAAAAACAAAGCGTGGAATGTTGAACATATCATGCACTCAACTGTCGCAGCTTTAATTATAGCGAATGGTAACAGGCTATCAGACTCTGATTATGAATGACAAAATAACCTTATTTAATTTGTACACTACATAGTTGAGTGCATAAATGCATAGTGTACAGTGCGTCATTTAGGACACAGCTTGTGTGTGTTCTGGCGTTCTTTGTTGTCATGATGTAATTTTCCTGTGGTTCCAGATTTATTAGTCACATGACATTACGTCTCAGGTGATTTGTGGGTAATTTGGTCCAAGCAATGTGAATACAGCCTTAGATGAGGTCAAAGGTCAGGACTGCAACTCTCGACACTCTTTCATCTGCTTTATTTCATTGAGTGGTTTCTGCTTAAATAGTGAGGCATTTAGCCGCCTGTGCCCCGTCCACCCAAGGCTAATTACAGCTCATGTACTCTTCGCGACCTCTGACCTCGTCTCGCGGGAACTCTGATGGAAATAATGGAAAGATAACACGCAATCCATCTCTGCCGTTAATCTGCATTTCACATAGCTACATGCTCCTGACAATCTTCAAGTCGTTCCTGGCACCAGTACATGCTGGGAAAGGAACGGAAAGCCGTGGAGAATTTGTTTTTAACCCGAGTTATTCACTCATTAAATTAATTTATGTAACGGCTCTTCAGGGGAATGTGAGATTTTACTGTCCTGGTGTCTGTTATTTATTACTTATGTGACACTGGCTTTGGCCAAAACAAGTTGACTTAGAAGACAGCATAATTATGCTACAGGCTTCACATGGAGAGCTTAAACTGCTGTCTATGTAGGCAGCTCAGTAAGGTTTGAAACAGTTCATCACATAAATAAGGGAGGAAGAAATATGCATGAGCTCGTCTTTAAATGGCACACATGAGAACACGCGAGTGCCCTCGTGATTCCTGTGATTATGTTGGCCATCAATGATTCAAATGCAGAGGCTGATGATAATTATGGACATGCTGTATATGCCAAGTCATGTGACTCACTCTCCATAATGAGGTTGCATGGTTGAGCTTGACATAATGAGGAGGGATGAATATGAAAGAAGATATTGACAAGAGCAAGATAGGCCAGGTTTATTTATTTATGTATGTATTTTTTTATTTTTTTATTTAATTTTTAAGAAAATGTGAGTGTTGTTTGTCAATGCTAGGGTATTGTTATATGGTTGTTGTGGTATTCTTGATTGCTAGGTGGTATCTAGAGTGTTCTGGATGGTTGCTAGGTGGTTTTTAGGGTGTTTTGAGTGGTTGCTAGGGTGTTTTGCATGGTAGGTGGTTTCTAGTGTGTTCTGGATGGTTTCTAGGGTGTTCTGACTGGTCGTTAGGGTGTTTTGGATGGTTGGTGGTTTTTAGGATGTTCTGACTGGTTGTTAGAGTGTTTTGGATGGTTGGTGGTTTTTAGGGTGTTCTGGCTGGTTGTTAGGGTGTTTTGGATGGTTGGTGGTTTTTAGGGTGTTCTGGCTGGTTGTTAGGGTGTTTTGGATGGTTGGTGGTTTTTAGGGTGTTCTGGCTGGTTGTTAGGGTGTTTTGGATGGTTGGTGGTTTTTAGGGTGTTCTGGCTGGTTGTTAGGGTGTTTTGGATGGTTGGTGGTTTTTAGGGTGTTCTGACTGGTTGTTAGGGTGTTTTGGATGGTTGGTGGTTTTTAGGGTGTTCTGGCTGGTTGTTAGGGTGTTTTGGATGGTTGGTGGTTTTTAGGGTGTTCTGACTGGTTGTTAGGGTGTTTTGGATGGTTGGTGGTTTTTAGGGTGTTCTGGCTGGTTGTTAGGGTGGTTGGTGGTTTTTAGGGTGTTCTGGCTGGTTGTTAGGGTGTTTTGGCTGATTGCTAGGATGTTTTGGATGGTTGCTAGTTTTTTTTTCTGGGTGTTCTGAGTGGCTGTTTTCTTAAGTCAAAAGAGTCCTGCATCTTCAAGTCTCTTTTCTGGTCTGTAGATGTGTTTAAACCACTGACTCTAACTATGAGCCGCAGCACTAGTGAAGCTCTGCACTACTGAGGAGTAAACAGTCTCTCTGATATGCTTTATTTTGGCACACACGCGCTGCAGGTGGACCATCGCTGTAATACATGTGCTGTCAGACTCTGGATAAAAGCTTCAATCTGCAGCATGATCTCAGAGCGCAGCAGGAGTGTGTAGCATGTGTGAGTGTGTAGGTCATTCTTAGTTAAATGTCATGATCGGGAGCGTTTGATTCATTCTGATCTGGAAGCAGAATTTCTTCAGGAAAATCCCTCAGATCCAAGTCATCTCAGCCTGTTTCTGTCGGAGGAGGAGGAAAATCGTACATGGTGTCTCATCAGTGTTATCATCTTGAGATCTGAGACAGACAGAATGTTTGTGTGTGTGTGTGTGTGTGTGTGTGTGTGTGTGTGTGTTTGGATTGTGGGTTTGCCAAATGCAGTGAGTGAGGCTGCTGTGCTTATAATCCTCTCACGGTTCAAGCTCTGTGACTCTCATTACACACTGACACATTGAGAGTTTTTACAGGGAACGTGTTGTACAGGTTCACTGACTCATTTTGCTCATTTATTCTGGCGTATTTGTTCCTTTTTTAAGTCCTAATTTTCCTGTCCATTAAAACCAGTGGAATTATGCAGAAATGACAGGATATTAGAGTTAGTGTTCGAGTTCAAAGTCTAATGTAGCCCATTTCTGAATAGTTTCTGTTATTTTTAATATTCTGAGCAATATGACATAACATATATAACATGCATAAAATGCAATAATATTTTACAGCAGCTTTAAATGTGGCTTATCTAATCGATTTTTGTTTTAGAATGACTTATCATTCTTGTAATTCATAATAATATTGTGATTAATCTGATATTTAGGCTTGTGTCCATCAAGTTACAAATAAAAAGAGGAAATTATTGTTAAATAATAGATTATTATGAATTATTATTAAATACATTCTAAACAATTATTTAGAATTACAAATGATTATTTATTTATTACTATAATTATTTATTTCACTAGATTATCCACAAATAGGTTTATAATATATAAACCCTTTTTGTTCTTAAATTTCCAAAAATATTATATCATTATATTTATACTGCCATGTTACCATGCTGTTGTTGTTTGTTTATTTGTTTGTTTGTTTTATTTTATTTTCTGAAGTTCCCTGGAGTTGCACATAAATATGGTATATAAGCGGTAATTGCGTGATTAATCAGCCATTTTGAGATTATGTTCATATCTTCCTGGCTCTGAAGTGTTTGTGATGTTTAGATTGTCCACTTAGTGTTTAATAACAAAAACATGGTTGTACAGCACAGTTAAAGGGATAGTTCACCCAAAAAATGAAAATTCCAAACAGTTGCTAGTAGCCATTGACTTCCATAGGTCTCCCCCCCCCCCATATTATGGAAGTCAATGGTTACTGGCAACTTCTTGATTATCAACATTCTTCAAAATATCTTCTTTTTGGGTGAACTATCCCTTTAACATAATCCTCACACACACTCTCTCTCTCTTCTCCATCCTGGTAAACAATCACAGTATTCCATCAGATTGTTCCAGCCGGATTTCCTGCTGGACGTTGATGTTGTTTTATTTTGTTGAGTCAGAGATCAGCTGTTGAACGCATCATGCTAATGGAAACGGTGCCGTGAGCTAAACTGGGGTCAGTGTGAGATCACAAAATCATTCTGGAACAAATCCACTGTCACTTCTGTGTGTCCGGCCGGCATGTCATTCCAATGCCACGTCAAACGGGAAAATATTACTCAGGAGACAAATACAAACGAGTCAATAGTCGTCATACAGTAAGAATACTGACTCTGACTGCAGCTCAAGCATTGATTAGTGCTGCGAATCTTACCATTTGATTCAGATTCAGGTAGTCGTGTTCACAGTTCTCGATGATTTGCAATGTGGCTCTGCATATGAATTGTTAATAAAATAGAATTAAATGTTAAATTCTAATATTGACTTTCTGTCTTGTCTTTGAAAAGAATCGTTTGGCGTCTACATCGATTTCTTCCCCCGTCCCTATTATTGATGTTTGGCACTTAAAAAGCGGAGAGGATTGTGGGTATTGGTTGTTTAGCAGCCAGTGGTTTTGCTCTTCTCTGGAGGGCAGCAGAGGGCAGTGTTGCCAGCTCTGCACCCCGATAAATGGGGCGTAATTCTGCTGATCCGCCGTGGCATATGAGGTCTGCCAGTCCTCTAAGCTCTGCGTGGCATTTAGTGCTTCAGCTGTGGATTACAGAACATTTTTAATCCAAAAAAGGGGGAAGGATAGTTGTTTTTGAGCGTGTGTTTGTTTTTTTTCTTGATAGAAAGTCAGCGTGATCAGCTCTGGGTGTGTTTGGAGAGAATGTGACAGGACGTGTGTTTTCTGGTCTGCACACACAGGTTGACCAAAGGTTCATGCTGAACAGTGGTGTTGTGGAAGCTCAACGTCATTTCTGGCAGAATTTGATGGAGTTGTCTGTGTCATGCAGCTTTAATGCAGGAACCCTGTGTGTGTGTGTGTGTGTGTGTGTGTGTGTGTGTGTG